AGAAAACAGAATAAACCAAGCAATAACATCACCTCTTCTGTTTTTCCCTTGTTGCAGGAGTTTAATCAGCAGCTCAAACTAAAACATTCTTGTTGGTAAAAAGATGGTGACAATTAATCTAGACCTAATAACTGGAATGCTTTCACTGGGGAATTAAAACAAATTATTCCTTTGCTATTGCATCTTTGTCTCATTTACATTTTAATCCCAGAAGGATCTTCCTCTGTAATATTTGGAAAATGACTGCATAGAAAGGGAAAAACAACATGGGAGATGCATCAAGAATTTAGCTACTAACTTTTATGGCAGAAGTCTGATGATGCCAAGTCCTAAATGGCGGAAAATGAGGAGAAATACTGTGTTTTTTCCAAACACTGCTGAATGCAGAGCCTGAAGGCATTTAAGATTGTGCACACAAAGACAGGCAAACAAACAGGGCAGGAGGTTCTGTTGAAGGTGTAATTACACATTAGCCAGAGCAGAGCAGGTCACCCTTTCTTTGTACTGAAAATAAAGGAGACTCCACTGGTGACACTCTGTGCAGAGGGAAACCTCTGCCTTCCCCACCCTGTGCCTCCCCAGTTCCAGACTCAGGCCTTGTCCTTGTGAGGTTTTACTACAGGATAAGGAGTCCATACACTTTTACTCAATGTAAACACTTAATGAATAAAGACTCCTTAGTGTTGCCAAAGTAAAACCAGTGTGGTATTCCACCCCATCCCAGTCTGCCTCACCCACGTAGCCTGCCTGTGATTTCTGCTGGAAGTATTTTTGTGAGGGTTTCCTTACTCCCTTCAGTGAAAGGGAGCCAGGTTAGCAAAGATCTGCAGCTTAGACAGCCGAAACTAATCTGGTGAACTGTGGCACATCCAACCCCTCCACCAGCACCATGTCCAAGGCATGGCCCTCAGCAGCTGTGGCACATCTGGGTGCAGAAAACCACTGCTGTCTCCAGCCCACCTCCAGTAAACCCTCAAGTAGCTTTCAGCAGAGCAGAGAAAGAATCAGCTGCCTCAAGGCTGCCTGAACAACTCTTCACCAAGTTGGAGAGCTTTAGATCCCATTAAAGCCTCATGATGTTTGAGAGAGGTGCTGCAGGATCACCATGCAGAGTGATCCCCACCCCAGAGCAGCACAAACCGGGAACTGCACAATGCTGACTGAGCCTGAATTGAGGGTCACTGACCTGGGGACAGGGGGATGTCACAGAAGTTTCCAAGTAGTCTCTGGAACACCATTGTTTGCAGATCATAGTACTCCTAGTCATTACAGAATGCAGGTATTTTCCAAAAAGATTAACCCCAACTCACCCAAGTTTTAAGACGAAGGGATGGCCAATTGTAAGTACAGAAAATTATCATAATGAGGCAGCTGGGGCTTTGGTGTAGGTTTTGGTTCCCCACCAAATAAAACTGCGATTGTAACTCCACAAGGGAGTCTCCTCCTGACATGAGTTTCCCCAAGAAATCTCTCTCTAGGACTGCAGTGTTCTGGGAGCAGGTGCTGCTCAGTATGTAGGACACCTTTGATCTGCTCCAAGGACAGGGATGGTCTGAGCAGCAGCCAGTCTCAGCACACAGTGCTTGTCACCAGCGAGCTCTGGGCAGTGTAAGACAGCAGGTGGGAAGCAAGACAACAGGATCAAGCCTGCAGCTCCTTGGAACACAACCAGCTCCTCCTGGTGGGGTGGAGGACAGCCAGGAAGCTCATTACCCTTCAAACTCCGTAAAACTCTGGGATATGGAAACAAGAGATGGAAACAAACCTGGGAGGAGCTGAGTGCAGACATCACGGGGTGCAGAGAGCTGTGTAACACCCCCGTGCCCTCAACACAGGGTGGTGCAACTCACAGGATTGCTGGGGATGAGCTCAGGAGGCTCCTGGGCCTGAATTCTCTGTGCTGCTTTGCCCTTCTGGCTGACCATTGCCAGCAGGTCGAGCACGGTGCTTTAGCATTAACTTTCAAGGTCTTACACAGAGAGTTCTTAAGGAACTTGCTGAACTTCTGACATTGCACATCCCTGTTACCCCACAAGGACAAAAAACAGGAGATTTTTTGGTCCAAGTGCAGTATTTACTCAAGCCTGCTGTAATCCCAGGCTTACAGACTGACCTTCCCCTAAGTTCCACAGAAATGACTCCTGGTAAGACATGCTTCAAAGAGCCACTTGTTGCCTGGTAAGGTTCACAGGGCACTCCATTACTTCCCATTCCTGAAGACCTTTGGAGAAGCCCCCTTTCTCAAAATCCTTGAGGCTGAAATTTGCCAAACTTCTAGTGCTATAGTTCAGCAGGTCAAACTCAGCAGCTGAAAGATGAAATCCTGGCTCCACTAAAGGTGATGGTAAGATGCCTGATAACCTCAGTGCAGCCCAGGCTTTACCCAAAAAGTTATATTCAATGTTTGTTGAAGCTTTTATTTTCTATTTACTCTAGTGTAGGCTGTCCTAAACAAGTGTTTTATATACAGATAGCTGCAGCTTTTCTGAATACTGTAAAATAAAAGCTGGGGTTTGAAGGGATCCCCTGCATTCCTCCAACCACTCTGGGCAGGATTTGTTGGTGCTTTCCTCCTTCTTCAAACACAGCATGCAGCTTCACTGGATGCTACAGAATTGCTGTAGACTTATGCTGCTATAGCTGAAAGGAAGATCAAACTGAGTATTCAATTACTTATGCACTCAAAGGTATTTATTCCCTGAGATGAAAGTCCTAAATCTGTTATTATTGCCATTCCCTCTTCTATGACTATTAGCATGCTGCTGCTTTCAGATCTATGGAGATGTCAACACCAGTTACTGGCAGCAAAACTGAAAGATGAGAACATGACAGGGAAATGTTTAGAATTATGCATCATGCTCAAAAACAGATGAGACACTTGATCTCCCTTAATTCTAGAGGAGTACGCAGGGATTTTTCCTCAGATTTATGTTTTTCCATTATCTATTTCAGAGCTGCAGGGATTTAAAAGCTGAGTGAGGTGAAGGGCAGCAGGCACTGTCTGGGGGACAAACCCCCAGAGAGGAAAGGTGCTCTTGGAGCAATGAACACAAGGATTTGTGAAAGTGACAGGACCCCCCGACCAGCACTGAGCTCTTGGCCCAAAGTCTGGGTGAATATAAATGCAATGCTGAAAAGGAAAAGTTGACTTTCTTCACAGCATCTTGTATTTTTCTGCTTGTGCTGCACCCTCCTGTTGTTACAGGTGGCACCTGGGAAAGCCAGGCACTTGCACCCACAGCTGCAGTTTATAATAACAGCTCTGCAGCAAGATGGTGTCAGGAAAGTGTATTTAAAGATGGGAAGATCAGTGATGAAAGCCACAAGTCTGATACTGGAATGGCTTCTTCCCCCATCAATAGCACGGCCAGCATTCTCTTGCTGTCCTTTCCTCTATTTCCAGCCAGATGTCAAGGACCCTCACTCAGGGAATGTGGAGAATAAAAAGCCATAAATCCCAGGCACTCTGAGACGTGTGCAGTGTCTGGTGCTCAGTTTCAGACATCCAGCTTCCAGAGGGCCCTGAGCAGCCACCCTGAGGCAATGACCCCTCTAAATGAATCTCTCTTCAGTCACTCTGACTCTGTCAGCCCTTCCCAGCTCCTGACACAAAACCACCAGAGCCAAACAGCAGCCAGAGGACACACAGCCATTGTTTCAAGGGGAAATCAGTGTTCTGCAGAGCTGCTGATTTATTCTCCCTGGAAGCAAACCCTTCTGTCCATCTGCAGCAGAGAGCACAGGGAAAGAGCCCAGGGAATCTGCCTCACTGACAGTCTGATCCACTCCAGCCACACCTGAAAAGGCTCTTTCATCCCTCACAGCTCTCTGGTCATACACATCTCCTTTCACCTTAATCCATCCCACACCAGCTCCTTTTTTACTGCCATGTAAAACCAGTTCCTAAAGTCCAGGAGAGTGTGAGCCTTCTGTACACAGAGTGTACCCCTGATCTTTGTAATGAGTGACCCAGGAAGCCTCCAAACCACCCTGTCCTGAAGGTGAGAGGGTACCAAGAAGATCCCTCCATCTACAAAAATTTTTGTTATAGTCTTCCCCAAAGAATGTCATAGACTTTTTTTTGGGAGAATACAGGTTTGGGTAGGTATGAGGTTACTCACACTTAGGTGGCTATTCTTATGTTCTTAAGTGTTAATCCTTTTACCTTTCACCCTTGCAAAACCAGCTAAGAACCAGCAGGATCTGCTAAGAGCCCAGGAATAACTACCAGCAGTTGCACCTCAGCTGCCTAAACCAGATGATCTCTGCTAACCATTAACAGCAAGATTAACCAGCTGCTCAGACTAAAGTGGCAGACTGATAACCTGGAAACATCCCTCAGGGAACATCCATTTCATGGTTTCATTATGAGGACAGTAGATACCTTCTCACAACAGCAATTTTTGCAGCCAAGGTACAGGTACCCACGAAGATTTTAATTTGAAGAAACCAGTGAATGTGGGTTTTTTAAGAAAGATTCTACAGAGAAAAGTCTAAAACATCACCCCTTACTTATTTGAAGCAAGATTTTAGCAACAGATTTAGGGAAAAACATATTTCAATGCGCTGTCTCAAGATATACGTGCACATATTCCATGTCTGTACGTCAGCAAAACTTGGGGTTTGAGTTTCAGTGGCTTCTCTGCAATCATGAGTACAAGTCACACATTTTGGTTCAAAAGGAAAGACAAGAATAGTAACAGAACAAAAGACTAAGTATACCGAAATAACTGCCCAGACTGAAGTAATTCCAAGCCTCTACTCACCTCCACATAGCAAGGTTTCTGATGAAATAATAATTGATGGCTTCATATATGTTGGCAATAAAAACTCAACACTACTGGTTTTCTCAGTTTGGCAATATGTATCATCAGAAAACAGAAAGCCAGACTTAGAGTTAGCACTTTCTGGGAATTTTCTCAAAGAAATGCTTTCTCCCCTTTTGGTGCAGAGCTCAGATCTTCTCTTTCCAAAGGAAGATCCAGCCTTGCTTCACTTACCTCCTCCGTAGGTGGTAGCACACATGATGGATGTTGTCCAGGCAATCTGGCTGTAGGAGATGCTGAAAACAGCCTGGATCTCCTTAAAGTAGATGGTGAAAGCTTTAGGGAAGGTATAGGCAAACCCAATTGAGATGGAGGCTCCAAACACCACAGCCCAGCCCCATCCACCATCGGGGGGGACATAGCCCAGGTCTGAAAGGACTGGAGGAGACATGGCCAGAGCAGATTCCAGAGCAAACCCTGCTTCCCAGGGTCCTGCAGAGCAGAGGAGATGTGTGTTGTACAGAATGCTCATAACACATGGTCAGGCATCATTTTAAAGCAAATTAAATTGATTTAGAGCTACAGAGAATCATCCACCTTTGAAGCCTTAATCCTTTTGCTGCCTTTTAACAGTTCTGTTGTTCAATTCTAACACAACCAAGATCACCCTTCCCTCTCCAATAACCCTGTCCAGCTCTTCCAGCTGCATTTTAAATACATACCCTCAAAATACTCCTATGGCCTCCATGTCCAGGGGCAGACCTCAGTCCCAGATGAAGTCAGTGCCAACACTTTCTGCTCTCTGCCACACCCAGCCTGTGGCTCTGTGTCCCACCTTGGGAGATGGCTTCTGGAGGTTACTCCTGTCACAGTCCTTCTGGAGAGAAACCCGTGCTGTGTCTGTGCCTTTTTCAGGGTGAATCCTTCATTGTGTACTTCTCAGACATGGGTGGGAGTCCTTATGATTTCAGGTGATTCCTGCTCAAAAGAAGAATCCCCATGAGGTAAGCAGCAGCTGAACAGCCCCACATGGGCGCAGCTCCCCTGTTCTGCAGGGGAACAGGGCTCTTCTGGCTGTTGCTTCCCTCAAACTAACAAGCAAACTGAGAAACTGCTTGCAAAGGGGCTGGAGTTCCTTCCTACTTATGGGCAGCAATTCCACTCGTGCCTGGTGCCTGCCAGGTTACCAGATTATGCTCAGGAACAGCACAGATCAAGGAGGGCATTCACTCATTTGCATTCTTCCCATTTTCCCTGGTCATTAAAATAAAGTGAGGATAAAGAGAAAAATAAATAAAACATAGATGTATTTTCTGTGAATCTTTCAGGTAGATCAGGGATGAGTTTTGGAATCCTTTTGCAAAATAGTCAGACCTCCATTGAAAATTTCAGTCCTGTCCTGAAAGGCAATCACTGATTTTTGTTCTTGTCATAGCTTCTCTTCACTGTCATTTTTTGCTACAGACCAAGACCGTTCATCTCCATTTATTTTTAATTGAAGGAAATCTATGTAAGCCCATGTCTAGTGCTCTAGAGGCCCTCAGAGGGTGAGAGTTTAATGGGAGAGGATCACCACACCTGCTCCATCCTCATCCTCATCCCTGGGCATCCTCTGCCAGCCTCTGTGGGTGAGGAGCCATGGCCAGACCCAGAGAGGGTCTGACCCACGAGAGGATTCACTGCCATTTACACACAACCACAGAATGGTTTGGGTTGGAAGGGAGCTTAAAAACCATCCAGCTCTAACCCCTTTCCTAGGATTTCACTGGAACATGAGAGGAACTTGACTGTAACTGGAAAAAATTATTAGCACAAAATGCTAATATATAATAAATCCACTCTAATTTCTATCTGGATAATATCCACGATGGCAAGTTGTTGGGTTTTCTGGGATTTCCTTGCTATATCAAGAGATGACCAACTAAGTCTTTTATGATGAAATGATAAATAATAAGGAAAATGTCCCATGACACTACGAGGGATGCCATGTTTTAATTTCAGGATCAGCAAGATTTGCAAAGTTTCTCTTGCTCTGATATTAGGTAATGAAGTGGTCTGACAGATATTCATGAAACATTTTTTTTCCCTTGCAGGTACCCACAGTATGTGGAACATTCTGATGCAGAGCCTGCTATACCCCCTCTTCTAAGCCTTTCCATAAAGGGAAATAATTTTCTTTTAGAATTACATTAACTCGACTTCATTACTGTAGGGTGAGATTTTAAAAGGAAAACCCAAGTTAAAAAGTAATAGTGGTGATGTTGGAATGCCTGTCTGTTGATGTTTAAGAGATCTTATTACTCATCAAATTGCATTTCATTGCACTGCTTCTTTCATTTATGGTTATTCTACCCAGTTTAGGCCATTCAAATATTATGGAGAATACCAAGCTCCTAAAAATATTGACATATACTAGTGGTCCTAAACTAGGCAGAATAAAACTGATTAAGGGGTGGTTAGAGTGAGGACATGTTTCCTTATTTAACATTATGTTTGGTATTCACAATCTACCAAAATATAGGATATGCAAAATTCTCAGGCCCCTCAAATTCAAATTTTTTGGTAGTCCTTTAAAAAGGTTGAGCCTGAACTTTATACATGGGATTAAAAAGAAAGGATATTTTCTATTACCACCAATTCTAAAACTATGACTAACTATACATCACCTTTAGAAGTCTTACATGATGAATATATTTGTGCATTTAATTAGATTTTTTGTTTAGTGAGAGATATATTGAGAAGATAGTAGCATAAAATCAGACTATGGTATCAGAACATTGTCCAGTTTTTCTATATCAAGGCAAATTAATACAGTAAACCAAAGAGAGGAACCAAAGTTAAAAGAAAGTGTAGTGTACAGTCAAAAATAAAAATCACACCAGCTGACTCTTACTTCCCCAACTCTAAAACAAGGCTTTCAGAGGAAGATTTAGGGGAATCTAACTTTGGGATTATAAAACTTGGGATTGTTTTTAGAGGGTTTAATAGCCTGAGCAACCAGCAGGCAGTGATGTGATACAGCCCCAGTCTCCCCTCATTCCTCCTGTGGCATCCCTTGAGGTTTGTGGGACATCAGCACCAAGGAGGGCCCAGGACCATTCTCCCATGGGCATTACCCCTTCTGTTAACACCCTCTTAACCACAACTTTAGAATTTTAAAGCAAGAGTTATCTTTGTCTGGCACAAGTTTACTTGTCAGCTCTCTCACTTTACCCCGATTTCCTTTTTGTGATGTTGGAAAGTCTGGATATCCCATTTCTCCACTTACCACTCCCTGCAGGCTTCCTGCTTAATTCCTGCTAATTTATTTAGAGTTACTCTTTAGACAGGTATTCTGGATCTTTTCTCCACTATTCTTCAATCCTCTTCAGGAATCTCTCTGAGGCTACAAACAACAAATTGGAAATAAAGGAAGTCCAGGTTTCTTCCACAATCAAGGCCCTTACATCTCAATCCAGTTGACATTTACCATCTTCTTTCCTTGATTTATTGAACAGCTGTCTTTTGAAACCAACACACACAATCACAGCCTTCATTCTGTAACCCAGATCAACTGGGGACCTCTCTTGGACTGTACAATTATTTTTCCACACCACTTGTTTTACTTGGCTGGGGCTGGGTTTTCTTGCTAGGTGACAGCACCGTGAAAAATCAAACCTGAGTCTGATGAAGCTTCACCTGCGGCTCCAAGGGGCCAAGATTCCCTCCACCCAAGCACAGCACCACCACAAACACTCACTGGGCACTGGGCTGCTCCCTGTCCAGCAAGGCAGCACCGCTCGGACCTGTCCCTCGGCAATAGCGGCTGCTGGCTCCCCTGGGAGTGACCTGCTGCCTTTTAAAGCCACCTGCCCACCTCATCCCCCACCCCAGAGGAGATCAAAGGTTCTGCTCTCACTTGGAGCACCCTCTGCCACCTGTCAGACCCAAAGGCTGCTGTGTCTCACATTAACTCCTCTCGAACGGGGGTGGTCCTTCACAGCAAACTCTCCGCTCGCTCTGCTTGGAATGCTGGCATGTCTCAGCTGCCTGTGGATGTTGTTAAATTATTTGTCAGATATCTTTTTTCCTTGTACATATTAACTTATTCTTTCTTTACAATGTCTTTTTGCAGGCTCAGCTCCCACTCTGGTGCAGGGAAATTTGCATATGGAGGTCTTTGCCCATCCTGGTGTTTTACCCCTCTGCCTGAGGTTCTCCTGCATGACTTCTGGGTCACCCAAAATCCTGCATCTGATTGATTTTGATCACCCAATAAAGGCGTTGACAAGCCACAGCAACACTTATCAAGGGGTAAATATCACCCTGGAGTGCAGGGAAAAGATACAGAGAATTCCTGAATTTTTTACCAGTAACCAAGCAGTTGACTTGGACTATTAAATGAGCAATGTCCACAAAGAGAGTCCATGCTTTGGAAAGGTTAATGTAACCCAGTTTCAGTAGGAATGTTTCCACCAGACTTATGTTGCAAATCCCCATTTGGGGGATTTAAAACATTCCCCTGCCGTGTTTATAATCCCAATGCTGGAACACACTACAGAAGCACAAAAGAAAAATAGGAAAGAAACTGATTGTAGGTGGGCCAGGGAAATGTTTTCATCCAATCTGAGTAGAAAATTAATCACAAAGGTAAATGGAGGTAGGAAAATGATACACCCCAGTTAGCTTTGCCAGTCAGCATCTCCTGCAGCTCATATTTCCTGCCTTGTAGCCACATGCAGTCATCCACACTCTTCCATAGCAGATATATCTTCCTTGCAAGGACACAATTTGTGCCCAAACCCACACACAAGTTCCCAGTTTGCTTTAGCACAAAAGGCTGCAAATGGTGCTCTCCCAGGCAGCTCAGACGTTCTTCTCACAACACAGACACACAACACACATCTCCCATTTAAAAGGATTTTCTACCAGGCAGTTGTAACAGCTTGATAAAAAAGTCTCCAGTGGTCAGAAGACAGCAAGATTTATTCTGGGGAGAAATCCATTGAGGGCTATTAAACACAGAGATGTCACCTCTGGCATTGCAGATGGCAAATAGCTGGAGCTTGGGGAGTATTGACAGGCAGCTCCATGCTTGTCTCCCCAGGCACCCACCATTAGCTCAGAGTCAGGGAACAAATTCCAATTGCACATTCCTTGGCCTGATCGATCCTCTGGTCCTGCTCTTTCTGCCTCACCAGTCATGGCTCCTACCAGTTATTCTCTCTAAAAATGTTTTACAGCCAGAAATATAACGAGCATATCTGGTGCTTTTTCTGTCTTCTGAAAGGAGTAAATCCTTAA